GAAATTAGTGTGTTTTTTCTCCCCCCCCCCCCCCCCCTTTAAAGGTCTTTTACTTCATGGGATTTTTTTCCCCTCATTTATGTAGAGCATAGTCAGACTGTTTCTCAGTCTTCTTTAGATGGGGATTATCTTCCATCCTCCTCTCAGTGTTCCAGAGAGTCACTCCGGGTCCAATGCTGATTGTTTGTGGTGTTTTCTGAATGAAGTAACCATTAAGAGCACTGTAATGGCTATGGCTTTTTTGTTCACAGACTATAAATTATGAAATCTTTCAGAACTATAACTACTTTGGGCATCATCTACAGGGATTTACATTTTGCATTTTTATAACAACAGTAGAAGTAACCAGGGGAAGAACTGTTCTTTCTTTATGGTTTTACTTTTTGATAAGTCCACAGTTAAAAAGAGTGGAGTCAACTGTGAGTGGTGATAAAGTTGTTTGGCAACAAGATCAAAAACAAAGGTTCCTGAAGACAAAGGAAGAGCAAAGGCATTTCAGAAGAGTGAGGAAAGGATTGAGAAGTTTTAGCAGTTGCTGAGCAAAAACTGTTTCCATAGAGGAATGCTTTCTGATTTTATGCTTAAGTCTCCATTTCCAATTCTGCTTCTTGTTTTGTCAGTGATGTTAAACAAGATAGTTAATTTCTTCAGGTCTTTGTTCCTCAGCTGTATTTTGGGACATGAATGCATTCCTGTACCCAGGAGAGATGTAAAAAGAAATGCTTTAGAGTTTAAGTCACAGCAAATACATATCTAGATAGAAAGACAGCACAGCAGGAGAGTTGGAGCTGCTTACTTTCCAAACTGTTCCCAACATACCTCTCACCTGTTTTCTTGAATCCAGCCATACATCTCAGCCAGTGTGTATGATATTTCCTTCCAGATGCACCACCAGAAATGTTAACATAGCCATAACTAACTGTTTCTTTTCTCCCACTCTTACCTTCACTGATTCTCTGTCACTGACACCTCAGTGTCCTCCACAAGGACTATAATTATAGTTCTAGTTTTTACTTCCCTGCTTTCCTTAGTCACTGTAGCTTTGTCATTGTTTATTATATACTCAGGGGATTTAAACCCAGACCCTGCCTTCTGAACTCTGTTTGCTTATTGTCTATTGATAAATGTTTTAAGAGATTTTAAAATTGCCAAAGTACATTTTTATTACACTATATAAATAATGATATAGTTCTTATTTACAAGCATTTGCGTGACCTATTAATACAATAAAGCTATTCTGAATGATCCTGTAAATTGCTGTTTGTGTTCATGGGCTGTGTGCTTAGGTTTTGAGGGAACTGTTTTTTTTAAAGATTTTTTTTTTTTTAAGAGAAAGAGATCAACTTTCATGAAATGAGAAATATATATTTCAGCATAAAGAACTTTACTAGCCAAATAGAACAAGGGAGTACGAATAGGAGTCTGTTACCATTGTGTATTTCTCTTTGCTCAAGTTTTCTTCTAAACTTCAAATATATCATGTGGGTAATTTGTGTGACAAACATATCAGCACAAAAAAAGGTTTTCCTACCTTTTCAATTTTAGATCTGATTTAGTTGGCTTTTGCCAGTTTGTTAGACCCTGAAATGTATTTGAACATAGTTTACTGTGATTTATTACATTGTGGTAATAATGCACTTTCCGAGAAGGAAGGATTTCTGTTATAGAGTGTATGTAAATAACCATCTGTTACCCAGACTGCTCCCTAAATAACCCATTATTATTCCTGTTACAGGTTTACATGATTTAGAACACCCTGATGTATCTTTAGCAGATGAATGGTGAGCCTTAAACTAAGCGTGAAATTGATGTCTGTTACCCTTCTTGGTTTCATATTGTTTGTGCTTGCTAAGCTCAATTCTTTATGTTCAAAGACAAAGAGAGATCATGCTTATACATACTAACATTTTAATGTTTTGACAACATCTTCACAGGTCCTATTGCAACACTGACTTACATCCTGAACACCGTCAAATGACTCAGTTAGAAGCAATTAAACGCTACCTCACAGGAAAAGAGCCATTGCTCCAATGCAAGTATTTTGTTAAATATGCATGTAGTAGGCTTTACCCCAGCTAAAAGCTGTTGTACTGAACCTTCTGCAAAATGCAAAGCTGCTTAGTTTAACCAGTGATAAATTGAGATTGGATTGCTTGGCTGATGTCGCTTTGGAATTTCATTTGGTTTTGAGCTTTTTCCAGGGTATGAATAAATATATTGACAATACAAATTTCTGACTTTTATGATAAACAATAGGCCTGAACCAAACATTCAAGTTTCTGTTCAGATTGTGTAGCTATACTATGCAATATTATCACTCCATCTGGTTTTATAAGTTAAACAGGATTGGTCTGAATCAATCCTTGGATTACGGCTCTAAAGAATATACCAGATATTTCATGAGTATTTTAGGGAGAATGTGTATGCAATTAGCGTTTCTGAACTGCAAAGCAGAATAAAAAAAAAATCAGATGGATAAGTGCATATTTTGTCTATTTGCAGATGTGTGGAGCTTTTATGACTGTTAGTAGACCTAATTGTTTTAACCTTCTGTCAAGTGCGAATATAAGCATTATCTAATAAGTTCATGAATGTGTTACATGAAATGGAGAATCATTTTTTGTTTTTTAATCTAAAATTGTTAGTGCAGTGAAATGATATATGAAAAACTGCATTGTGGTAAAATACCATGCAACATTACATAGTAAATGCTTAATAGTGCAAAAAGTTTGAATGCATATCACAGATAAAATATAGTACAGTGTTAAAAAAATTATTGTTTAGTCATCTAAAAATAATTATCTCTGTATGCACATATGTTTACTGATTTTAATATACTGTAATAGGTGATAAAGAATTGATCCAAGAAGTTCTGTTTGATGCAGTCGTGAGTGCACCAATTGAAGCTTATTGGACCAGCCTAGCATTAAATAAATCTGAGTAAGCAAGCTTTGTGTCAGTCATGGGTGAATTTTTAATACTTATGTTGATGAACTGGTGGAATAACCTAACAAATCCTGATATGCATGTATTATATTAACCATTTGATCCTAAATACCACCATTTTTGAGTTCAGTGTTAAGTGATTATGCTGCAGTGTATGCAATGTACATAATGATTAGTTGTAAGACTACCCAATTTTCACAATCTAACTAGTGAAATTGTATACTAACTAGAACTTATAGTTCTGAGTATTTCTAACAAATGATTTAGAGTCCTTGAGAAATTTAATGCAAAATTTACCAAAAATTGTTGATGAAATTATAATTTGTCTCAGAATAAATTATACATAGAAAAACTTGCACTGGTAAAATAATTTTTTTTTTTAATCCTTTTGTTTGTTTGTTTGTTTCCCAGAACTAACTGGGGTCTAGGTTCTGTTACAGATAATCAGGAGATTAGCCAGTCCTTTTTAGAGTTTATAAGTTTTACTTAATTCATTTATGTTATGATATACTAAGGTGTTAACTAACAAGATGTCATATATATTAGAGAAAACAGGTGTTAAGATTAGTGGTTTGCATGAAATACTGTGGTTGAAGGGCAACTCTGGAGATCATCCTGATCAGATTTTGCTAAATTTGAACCATTTTTAAAAAGTTGAATGAAAAAATATACTGCTGTAGAGCACATACTCCTGGTCTAAATAGCATTTCTGATTTGTATGTTTTCCAAAACCCACGTGACTTTAACTTAAAAAATAACATTTAAAAAAAATGAATAAAGGAACTATACTTACAATAATCTTTCTCAAAAATGTGTACACTTGTACTTTCTGTGACCAGTAATATAGCTTTATATGTTTGCTATCTGAAAACATTATTTTTGCTTGTGTTCTGCTCTATTTCAGAAACTCTGACAAGGGAGTGGAAGTTGCCTTCCTTGGAACACGGACTGGACTATCTCGTATCAACCTATTTGTGGGTCCGGAACAGCTTACTAATCAGTAAGTAACAAAGCTATGCTTGGCAGCCATGTGAGAAAAGAAGAATAATGTTTATTTTTAGGAAGCCCATCTACTGTTTCATCCAGGATTTTACGCTGGTGCACTGAAATACATAGAACAAGTTAGACAGATTTTATAGCATCCCTTAGATTCTTTCTTCAACTGGAACATTTGGAACAATGACCTATTTTACACCTGTAGCCCTTACATTTACTTTCACCCTCCCTCCCTTGGAGTTAGCCTCACATCTTTATTCTTCAGAGCAGAATTAGAAATATGCTACATCTGCAGATGATGATTTTTTTTTTTTTTTTACTATCCCATCTAAAATCAAACATCCCTAAGCTTTTTCAGAGATTTTGCATCATTGCTGTAGAAAATTTTTTGGTGTTGAAATAAAGCCAAGTGACAGAAGTGGACTGGGTGAAAAAGTAGTCGGGAGATTTCATCGTTCAAGAGTTTCCTATTTTGCTTAGAGAAGATGTAATCTAGTGGAGGTACAGGTTTCTTAAAATGGAGAGCTATAAAATAAGGTCTCAATTAATGACTTTTTTCAGGCAGCAATTTGATAGTGTCAGGCAAATCTATATACATTATGCATGTAAAAGAAAATCTGCACTTGATGTTTATGATAAACTAAGTTTATTGAATATAAAATTATATGATGCTTATCTGACCACAAAATATTGTTGTAGTGAGAGTAGCCTGACAGATGAGATCAATAGCACTGCAATTTGTTACTGTCAGACAGCAAACCAGAACAATAGCATGGAGACCATACTTGCTCTTTTCACTGACACAAACTTTCCTGTCAGCGTTCCCTGAGATTATTGAAGAATAGAGTATGTAGTTGTCCACTACTGCCCCGTACGTGTTATTTGGGGAGTAGGCTGTTACTTTTTTTCATTACTCAAGAGTGAATGCCAGTGGCAACAAACTACCAAATCTCCAGTGCCTTTTCCACTTTGTACAGTTCACGGTTCTTAGAATAAGCATTTTTATTTGTACACATCAGGACAAATGTTTTTAGTGGTACTTAGAGGCACTATTTTTGTTGATGCTTTTTCCAGCCTTTACAACAAAAGCAATTGCAAATGTGTCACAAATAATTATTAGGGGCTGAAGTTTTGTTTCCTTTTTGTTGAGCAAATGGTATTAGAAAAATTGTCCAAAACCATTTTCTTTCCCAAAAAATTGCTTTTTGTATTTTCTTGTCTTTCAAAGCTAGGAACTATTGTGTGCCATGCAACAAACAAGTGTTTTCTTTCTCTCTTCTTTCTCAAGAGATTTCCTGACAGCTGAAGATAAGGAGAACATTTTTAATGCTGACCATTTTCCACTCTGGTACAGAAGAGCTGCTGAGCAAATACCTGGGAGCTTTGTCTATTCAATCCCATTTAGTACAGGTCTGTAATTTTGTCATTCTCAAAATGCTGAGTCATATATGATGCTGAAAGGATCCCAAGTATGTCAGGACTGAGTAGGCTCTGTAGCTAATCTCAAATGTTAATCTAAAATATGCACTGAAATTTGCAGCTAATTTACTGGTCCTTTGACCAAGTGAATCTTTTACAGGGCTCCAAGTGAAACCAGAAAATGTGGTGTAGCACTTACAGCCTAGTATTTTAAGCAAGACAAGTCCAACAGAGCAAGTGTCCACATTAATGACAAGCCCTACCAGTTGTCACCTTTGTTGCCACTTTTAGCAGAGAAGGCAGAAATTGATTACTCATTTCAGTGTTTTAAGCTTGTTATTGGATCACTGGGGAATTTTGAAATGGCAATGCCTGTTTGTTCTCTGCATACATAGAACATGATGTTGTCTGTCTTATTTTCTGCAATATGTTACTTCAATTAGATTTTTTTTTTTCTTAATACACCCTGCAGAAACAGCAAACAAAAGCAATGTAGTGACAGCCAGTACTGCTATTCAACTTTTGGATGACAGAAAATCTCCAGTTGTTGCAGGTAAAATTGTTGTAGTTTACGAGTTCCTCGCTTTCTCTTTTGGGTTAGCAGGAATTTACTGTAGCAGTGTCATATTTTAAGAAGAGAGGAGGAGGGTAACATGCAATTGCAACTATAAGATATAACTGAATGACTTAGTGTAGAGAACACTTAATGCCTCCTCTCCCTGAGAACTTGATCCTTTATTGACTATCCAAGCTCCTTGTGAGCTATGGAGTTTGACTTAATGGAAATAACTATTATCAGTGAAGTATTTTTAGTAGACATTATTCTGTATCATCATAAATCAGAATATATTGTGTTAAGGAAAAGAAAATAGAAGAACGGACTACCTGATGTGTAAAGGTTCCACCCAGTCTTCACATTTGAAAATCTTGTCCTATAACAAACAATACAAAGTGGTCATTTTCTCTGGATTATCAGAGATGTGATTTGATCAGATCATACAACTTGAATAACAAAGCTCTACAGTCCATCAGCCAAGAGTATAACAGTGCCTAAAGACTGAAAGGTGAAGTTTGAAAACTACAGATTAGAGACAAAACGTACAGATTTAAAAGTGAAAATAATTAATTTTTAAACTGTTGAATGTTCCTCACTCAAGTTCAGATGCTTTTCTGAACAGTTTTCTCTAGTTCCCAATAATTACTGACTTTGAAGAAGGAATTAATTTAGAGAAGTCTTATGGTTTATTATGCCAGAAACCAAGCTCTCTTATCTTGGGGAAAATTAGGTGTCTCCACTGATAATAATAGATTTTATAAGGTCAGTAGGAGAGCACCGTTCTAACCCCAGTTTGCGTGAATACATTCTTCACAACCTATTGAACTCTTCCATAATAGAACAGGAAGTCTTAATTATGGCTTCATACTCCTGTTAAAGCATAAAACAGCACTTATAAACTAGTGTCAGTGCAGATATCTGGAAATTGCTGAAGGTGTAATTAAGAGTTTTCACTGTACAATGAAGAAGGTTGACATGTTATTTCTAGAATGCTCCGTCATTTGAAGTTAGCAAAAGGCTCATCGTGTAGTTTACCATCATCTGCAAAGTGTGTAGCGTTAATATGCATCCTCTCTAATACTGTGTCAACAAGCTTTGGGGTTTTTTTAATAGTAATTGTAAAAGATAGAAGCAGATGTTGCTTCCATTTTGCCAATAATTATGTTTAATATTGAACATTCACAATTACTTCAGTGCCATACTTTCTATCTAAAATAAAGACAGTGTCTTCAAAGCTTTTTAATACCAAAGCATGTAAGAGATTTCCATGATACCTGTAAACGCATAATGCTATGAAAAGTATGAGCAGCATATTTACATTCTGAAGCACATCAGTAGTTTTTTACTTTTATTTCTGTAAACTTTAGGAACTGTGCACTAGATAATTTTTTTTCCAGTATGAATAATTTTTAAGAATTTGCTTTGAATAATTTTTCCCTTCCCTCTTTGTACGGTTGCATGCTTTCAGTTTTTTGGGGGGAGGGCGAGGACGCCTCTTTGGATCTGTACAAACCATTTTCCTTGAAAGTATCACTCAGCCAGCTACAGCCATTCAAAGATAAAAAAGTATAAGCATTATTCTTGTCTTCTTCAAGTTGGAGATCATAAATGCGATTTGTCAGCCCTACTTTTTACATCAGAAAGCTTTCAACAAAGTACCCAGCACCTAGTTCAATTTTTATGTTTTATTATAAGGTCAACAATATTCTCTTTTAAGCAAAGTGGATTTGGAGGCAGAAACTGGTAAATGGGGAAGTTTGAAGTTTTTATTAGCCAGACTTGGGAAACAAAAGTAGGATTATAGGTAACATTTTCAAATACCTACATCAAAGTTCAAATTTGGCCAAAATGTCCCATTTTAATTTGTGTGAAGTAAGTATTCCTCATCCCCATTTGGTCTGAGTGGATTACAGAAAGCAGGAGGATGGGGTACACATTTCATGTAAAATCACTTTGTTCTCTAGAGGGATTTGACTGAAAATAAAGCTGTGCCAGAATGTTGCTTATTACAGATCAGTACGAGAGTTTAAAACTGGCAGAGAGCGACTAGAACATTATTATAAAATGGAAACCTGAGTTAGACATGCCCACAAGGGGGAAAAAAGGAACAAACCCAACTCTTACCACAAAATCTGCAGTCTCTTCTGCTTTCTTTGTAAAATTTATTTTTATTCTGTTTTTGTAGAAAAACATCAGTTATAACAGGCTTCATATGCAAATATACACTAAAGCTTATTGCAAGCAGGGAAGACTCAACTCTCTAATATAGGCAGAAAATCCTAAAATCAATGAGTTTCCAGACTGTTACTACAGAGAACTTGAATCTCCCTGCTGCTGTTTCACCATCTGTACCTACTAATAACAGTTCGCTGTCAGAATGTGTTGGCTTATTGGCAAAAGATCACGTAATTTGTTTTTGAAATCCCTCCTGCCTCTTTCAGTTGAGGTTGTGATTATTTATTTTTTTTTTTACTTAAATGAATGCAAATTGCTATAGAAAGTGTGGAAAAGGAGGTAAGTCTTTAATATATTAAGTGTAGTAGCATCATATTTATTACTGTTTATACAGAGTTCAATTTATTTGCAGGATAGAAAGGGACAATAGTACTGAATACATGGCTTTTTTAGATTTAAACACATTTATGCTCAAAATTACTTTATCTTATTGTTCTCTATGACCATGTCTCTCATATCTAGTTTACATTGAAATGTTATATTTCTTGAAACTGTCCATATTACAATGTGAAGGAGAGTAAAAGATGGTGGAATTTTATTTTCTGTTCTTCTCAACATGATCTAAAAATTGTAGAATAACCCTAATCTTGAAATTCCATCAGATTCACATAAGATCAGTACTTCTTTCTGTGACCAAGATGAAGCTGGTCAATATAGGATATCTGAATTTAGGTAGCAATCTAGCTATTAAAAATGAGGCAAATTAAGACTGAATTATCTCCTCCGATGCTCATATGAAAGGCAGTACATTTCACGCTAACTGTTGATAGAATTCAGCATTACAGTCTTGTATTCTTTGATATTGCATGATTAGTGAACTTGTCTCAGGTCCTTTATTTGAATCTCTGCTTCCAGGCAGTGAATATGTGGGCATCTGGATAAGTGCAGCATAGGATTTGTATGTATTACATACATGTTTCTTTTTATTTCCAATTTTTGGGGAAAAGGTGATGGTTTCATCATTATGATTTTGTTTAAAATAAACTTTTAAAGATACTGCTCACCTAGATAGTTCTGGGCAAGAGATGGGAACAGAATCAAGCAAAAAAAAGTCATCATGGAGTAAAGCAGGCTCTAAATAATGAAAAATGTTCTCCCTTGAGATTTTGAGAGAGTTGAGAGAGCACATGAATCTTCCTATATGTACTTCCCTATAGATGCATTTTAGCTCAAAAGCTACAGTACAATATAGTACCTTAAAAGCCCTTCATGCTGAAAGATCCCATCGCTGCTCACAGAAAACATGAAAATTAGCCCCTTGGGATGTCATTAAAGATAACAGAACTGACATAATCTTCTTAGGGCAAAAATTTGTTAAAGAACACTGAAGAAAATGATGAAAATTGTCGAGATCTCTTAACCTTTCTTCATAGAACAAGCAGAACCTGGAATCTAAAGTCTCATTGAAAAAGTTCATAGCAGTGCTTAGTAAAAAGCTCTGGACACCTCGTCAGAAGAATGAAGGATTAAATCATACACAGGCACAGTCTTTAGTATCATAGTCGTTTGAAATTTAGAGTTTGAAGGAGGTGAGGAGAAATAGTCCATTTTTGTTTAATACAAGGCTGCTTAAAAATTCTGAAATTAAGTGCAAATCTTCCTTAATTCTTTTGTGCCTATTTTTGGGCAGACTAGTTATATACATGAATGATTAAGGTTGGAGTTGACCTCTTGAGATCATCTAGTCTAATCCTAGTGGACTAGATCTTGAGCAGAATCTTGAGCAGGTTACCCAGAACTGTGTCCAGTCAGGTCTTCAATGTCTCTACAAATGGAGAGGCCACACCCTCTCTGGGAAACCTCTTCCAGGGTGTGACCACTCTCACAGTAAAAAAAAAAAAAAAGAAAAAAAAAAAGAAAAAAAAATTCTCTTTCTTCTGAAACTAGGTCCATGTGGCAAAGAGCTATGCAAATTTGTCACAGAAAGACCATGAAATGAGGCATTTCTAGTATTGCAGGACATAGAACAGCAGTATGATACCATATGAACATGAGTCATTTTTAAGATTACTGAGTGTCTGTATATCACAGTCTTTTCATTTTAACAAATGGCTATGCTGTCAGTTGCGAAGGACCTAAGTACGTAGATTTGAAAAATAAGCATATAAAAAGATGGTACTACTCTGAAAACTAGTTTGAATGTCATCAGCATGTTCTTTCCATGATGGAAATGTTGCAGTAGAAAATGGTTTAAAATTACTGGCTATAACTAGATATAATAACTAGATAGGAACAGATGTTTTTATTACTGTTGCCACTTATTGATGAAAATGTAGAATTGCAAAGAAGTTTTGTTACTATGGTACCAAAGTACAAGGAAGAAATATCTAAAGAGGTTGTATATTTATTTTCTACCAAAATATTTTATATATGATCAATTTTGTATTGGACTTCCTATTTATCAAAGTTGAAATTAGGCACAGAAAACACTGGATGAGTCCTCCCTGCACACATGCTTTTCTGTCATGTCTCAATCAAAATCAAGTAATATTTTAATTTGTACATTTAAAAAATATAAAAAGCTTTACCAATACAGTCAGACCTATAGTTTCTGAAAACAAGCAAGCCCACATTGCTCTATGTTACTTTAACTGGAATAATTAACGGAAGCTCAGTGTAGCTAAATTCGAGAGAAATTGAAAGTACTCCAGCAATCTGAAGTTTTCTTTTATTCAGCATAATTCTGGAAAGAAAAGAAAGCTGTGTTGTTCTTATGTACAGGCATCTTTGCAGTCATTTTTCTATCAAAGAAGAGTGATTGC